AGTATGCGCCGACTCTTGACACCAGCATAGGCATGGGCTACGTTGAGCAGCGTTGCGCTCATGTGGGCGCTCAGTTGGACGTAGACATCCGGGGGCGCATCGAACGTGCTGAAGTCGTTCCCGTGCCCTTTTATTCCAGGCTCAAGTAACGCAATCCCTTGCAGTAAGTGAGGTCTCAGGTAAGTTGAACCCTACCGACCGTAAATACACCTCGGAACATGAATGGGTCAAGATCGAAGAGGGCAGCTTGGCCTTGGCCGGCATTACCGAGTATGCCCAGGACCAGTTGGGCGACATCGTCTATTTCGACCTGCCCCAGCCCGGCTCGACTGGTACGCATCTGAAAAAAATGGGAGAAGTGGAATCGGTCAAGGCGGTCTCCGACCTGTTCTCTCCGATCACCGGAGAGGTTGTCGAGGTGAACCAGCGCTTGCGGGACCACCCGGAACTGGCTAACGAGGACCCTTTGGGTGAAGGCTGGCTGTTGCGGGTCTCAGTCAACGACTTGTCCGAATTAGACCAGCTCATGTCGGCTGAGGAATACGGATCATACATCAGTGGTCTGTCATGAGCGTATCCAACCAAGCATCCGGCGCCACGAGTGAATCGGACTTTCAGTTCCCCTATATTCCCAACACGCCGGAAGAGCAGGCGGGGATGTTGGCTACGTTGGGCTTTGGTTCAATAGCTGAGCTTTTCCACGACATTCCGGAAGTCTACCGGGATCCGCCGCTTAACTTGCCGGGACCCACATCGGAATTAGAAGTACAACGGGAACTGGCCGCTTTAGCGTCGAGAAATCGCCCTCTCAACAGCGGCCCTTCATTTCTGGGTGCCGGGTCGTACAACCACTTCATCCCTTCGGTCGTAAAAGCGTTGATGACTAGGGGCGAGTTTCTGACCGCTTACACTCCCTACCAAGCTGAAGCCAGCCAAGGCACTCTACAGGTTATCTACGAGTTCCAGACCCTGATCAGCAACCTGTATGGGATGGAAGTGGCCAACGCGGGGATGTATGACGGGGCGACGAGCTTGGCCGAGGGCGTGTTGATGGCATGCCGCGTTACCCGGCGCAACCGGGTCGCCGTGTCCGACAGCCTCTCTCCCATCTACCGGCAGGTGATCGAGACCTACTGCCAAGCCCAGGGCATCCAGATATTCACTGTTTCATTGAGTGACTCACTGTCTCTGGACGATCAAACGGCTTCGCTGGTGGTCCAGTACCCCAACTTCTATGGGTATATCGAAGACATGGGAGCACTGGCCGCTGCCGCCCACAGTCAGGGCGCACTGTTCGTTGTGTCAGCCGACCCTACGGCCATGGGATGTTCCGAAATCCCCCGGACACTACGGTGCGGACATAGTAACCGGGGAGGGTCAACCTTTGGGGATCCCGCAGAGTTATGGCGGCCCTCTCTTATTCGCTGGGTTGCCACCAAGCACGAGTACATCAGGCAAATGCCCAGCAGGTTATCGGGGCGGACGGTGGATAGCCAAGGCAGGACCGGTTACGTGCTAACGCTCCAAACGCGGGAGCAGCATATTCGGCGAGAACGGGCCACCAGCAACATCTGCACCAACGAGGCCCTTTACGCCCTAGCATCCACGATATACTTGGCTGCCTTGGGTAAGCAGGGGTTGCGCAACGTTGCCGAGCTTTGCTACCAGAAAGCTCACTACGCCTCGGACTGTATCGGCCGGTTGCCCGGGTACTCACTGCCAACGTCGAGGACTTTCTTCCAAGAGTTACGTGGTCAATGCCGGTCCTCCGCGTCATAACCGCGCGGTTGCTGAAGCACGGAACATACTGGGAGGGCTGGACCTCACCGAAGCGCCCTATACCGGCCACGCATCGAGAACCAACGGGCAGGGGGCAGCAGAGAGGGAATATCTGCAAAACGCATGTGCTGTGTGTACACGAAATGAACCGCGCCAGGCGATGACGCTGGTTGCGACACTCTCGGAGTTCAACTGATGCAGACTGGCGGGAACAGGGACACTTCCAAGTTGTTGATGGAGCGGAGTGTGCCTGGTCGGGTTGGGTCGATATTGCCCGATTCGGACGTGCCGCACCAACCGTTGCCGGACCAGTCGCTGCTCCGGACAGACTGGAGCTTCCGAGAGAGTATCCCGAAGCCCGGAAGTGGTGCCGCGACGGTCACCGCAACTGACGTCAGCCGCGACACTTTTCCAGCGACACCAGCACTGCGATCTGCAGATGCTCATAGCAGTTTGAAAGCACCCCTAAGATCAACGACGAAGTGGCGTTTTTGCCCGGATTCGCGGCAATACATCCGCTGCAACCGGCAGAGTCGGCGCAAGGGCATGCTTTGAAACTATACTTGTAGTACCAGCCGCGGCTCCAGTCTGTTCTTGAGCGCAGTGAGCCGATCGCCTGCCGGGAGTGAGCTTGCCGCTTCTGGCCGGGGCCATGGAGGGGTGGAGTTCGCCGGTCGGCATGCTCATGAGGCGCGCTATCGATCCACGCGCCGCGGCGATCTGCACCGCACAAAGGTGGTAATTCCTGACAGTGCCCACGGCACCAATCCCGCATCGGCCGCTATGGCTGGCTTCGAAGTGGTCACGGTGGCTTCGGACGATAAGGGCAATATGGATTTGGAAGCCCTCCATGAGTTGGCGGGGGCTGACCTAGCGGGCGTGATGATAACCCAGTCCAGTACGTTGGGTCTGTTCGACACCGGTATCGTGGATATGTGCCGGGTGGTGCACGAAGCGGGCGGGTTGGTTTATGGCGACGGCGCTAACATGAACGCCTTGCTGGGCCGGGTGAAGCTGGGTGACTTGGGGTTCGACATTATTCACCTCAACCTGCACAAGACTTTCAGCACCCCTCACGGAGGAGGAGGCCCCGGAGCTGGACCGGTTTGCGTTGGCGATACCCTGCTTCCTTACCTCCCCGCGCCCGTGGTGACACAGGCTGGAGAGAACGGCGGGATCACTTACAATCTCCATTACCCTGAGCGCACCATTGGCAAAACGAGCGGGTTCCACGGCAACTTCGGCGTTCTGGTCAGAGCTTACACCTATACGATTACGCTGGGAGCAGCAGGGCTGAAGGCCATCAGCGGCAATGCAGTGTTGAATGCCAATTACTTGATGCAGGCACACACCATCAGACTGAAAGACTTCTCGCTACTTGCCTTCGACCGGGTGTGTTATGCACAGCGTCTTCGTCTTCTCTGCCGACTTGCAGAGGGCCCGCGGCGCCAGTGGACTGGAGATTGCCAAGCGGCTGTTGGACTACGGGTTCCACGCGCCCACGATGTACTTCCGCTTATCGTCCACGAAGCCCTGATGATCGAGCCGACGGAGTCGGAGACCCGCGAGACGTTGGATGCTTTCATAGAAGCCATGCGGGCAATAGACCGTGAGATTGGAGAAAACCCCGAACTGGTACGGTCGGCTCCCCACACCCGACTACCCGCCCGTTTTTTATCGCAGACTATGGACTAAGCCCGTCGGTGCCGCGCGCCAGCCGGACCTGAAGTGGCGGCGCGCGGGCCAAGGTTAACTTACTGAGAGAAGCGATTAACCGCTCCTCTCCTCTTCCAAGGCTGCTCTCAGTATATCCTCCGGCACCCGCACTTCTGCACCGGCCCGTTCTTCCTGCAGCAACATGGCCACCCGGGAATCCCTGTCGCCCCAGCCGCGATTCAACGCCTCGGTAAGCTCCTGAAGAGCATGTGTAGCCAGCGTCATGGGAACGAGACGTGCGCACTCGCGTGCGCACGCTACGCCAACCGACTAGTGTCCACGTCCCTGTGTTCTGGCAACAGCACGTCGACAGTCAGCACAGTCCGAGGCGGGTCGAGTTGCCCGGGAGTAGGTGTTCGCGCAGCCCTTCGAGGTACCACCCCGCCCAGCTCCTCCGGCGATAGGGCGCACGTCCCTCCTCCCCTTGTCTCCGATTCTCGCACTGCCTCCCTACCTGTCCACAGCGCTCAACCCCGGCCTTGACCCCCATAGTGAACACTTCCGCCAGAGCGCACTGGATGATGTAGCCGGCGCAGTTGTGCACCAGCTTGGCGACGGCACCGGAGCCTATCGCTCCAACGTAGTAGGCTTTGTCGCCGATAGCATCCAAAACGTCCTTGCAACGGTCGAACACCGCCCGGTCGCCGCAATAGCCAGATTCCTCGTCCTGGCGCCGCTCGGACCGCCGCTGACGGGAGCGTCCAGGACTTGTATGCCTTGGCCCGCCGCGATGTCGTGCAAGCGACGGATCAAGTTGGGGGTGCTGGTGCTAAGGTCGAAATAGACCTTTCCGGCGGATAGACCCTGCAATAGCCCATCGTCGCCCAGGAACACCGCTTCCACCTCGGTCGGGCCGGGCAGCGACGTGAACACGACATCGCTGGACTCCGCCACTTGCCGCGGGGTGTCTGCCCACGCCGCGCCAGCCTCTAAGTGGGGAGTTGCAGATTCACGGCGTATGTCGTGGACAACCAAGTCGTGCCCGCCCTGGAGGGTGTTGTAGGCCATACTGCCCCCCATTGTGCCCAGACCGATGAATCCTACCTTCATGCCGCCCTCCAAGACCAGGATGGAATCTTATAGACCTGACAATGCAACATTACGATAAAAAGGGTAAGGGGGAAATACGCGCTAATAGAAGGAAGGCGGATACGATAAACCGCTCCGCGATGCTGAACATTGTCCACGATTTCGGCCGCACCGTAGACAAGCAACAGGGATACAGAATGCCCACGCACCCAGCGATGCCCAAGCGTAACTTGCCGGAAGCGATACGAGCGTATCGGCCTAATGAATACGTTGTATCTGCAAGGTCTCTGCCACCAAGGGGTTAACTTCCTTGGGGGCAGACCTGGCGATTGGTTGTCAAAGGTTATTTGACAGAATAAGGACTGTTAGCCTGGATTGTGCTTTTCGATCAGGGTCGTTACACGGGAGTCCAAGTCTCCCAATGCGACTCCGGCATCGGCTCGAGCGATACCCAAGTGGGCTGCCCGTTGTATATCTTCCCAATCAGGCTCCAGTTCGTATTCGTCTCTCAGCTCTTCCAGCAAAGCTTCCAACGAACTATTGTCAAACATAGATAATCATCCCTCGTTGCCATTATCTGAGTGCAGTATTTTACGTTTGATGTCCCGCTTATCCGGCACAAGGATGGCTTATCTCATCCTCTTCCTTGCCAGCCCAGTATAGGCGTTCAACGGTGACTTAGTCTACTTGGTTCACAGCCCAAGGGCAATAGTTTAGAGCGTCCATCACCCCCCATCGGATGAGTCTCGCCGACGGGTAATTTAGGACTCGTCGCCAGTCTGCTGATATGTCTCCGAGGGCCCGGGTCGACCTTGAGAGAAATACCCAACGACCAAAACGACAGGAATCGCCACTATTACCAATCCAATCAGCGCCACCACCAGCCAAGGCCCGAGATTGGCCAATTCATCAAGCCGGTCCTTGATCCAGATCAACAGTTCGGGATCAGCCGCGTCGCCGTGGTGGGAGGTAACCGATCCAAGAATCGCCCACAACATTATTGGTCAATCGCCGGCCGCGGTGGCCATGACGGGCGCTGTCTGATACCTGGAGGAGTACTTGCGTTCTCGGATAGAGAACGCGGACAGTGCCGCCGGGAACAACAGTGCCCCCATGATCGCGAAGGGGATGGTGTAAGAGCCGGTGACGTCGAATAGTATGCCCGCGACCCAAACGCTGACAAAGCCACCCACTTGATGGAACACGAAGGACGCGCCGGACACGGTGCCCAATGTTCGCAGTCCATAGACGTCGGCAGTGAGCGTGGTGGTAAGAGGTGCTGTGGCGATCCACGAGAACCCCGCCACAACGGCAAAAGCCCACAATGAGGCGTCACCCGGCACCAGCAGAAGCAGCATATAACCGCAGCCCCTACAGAAGTAGACCCCCGCCAGGAGGTTTTTCCGGGAGAACCTGTCCGCCAGCCAACCTGCGCCGATAGCGCCCGCGGCGTTCAGTCCCATCATCAGGCCGAACACCGTCGCAGCTAGAGTGGGTGAAACACCCCGCCCTATGGCGTAAGGAATGAAGTGTACGGTGAGCATAAAGGTGGTTGAACCGCAGACGTAGTAGGAGAGAGACATCTGCCAGAACGGCATGGAGCGGAAAGACTGCTTCCAATTGTCGGAAGCCAGAGGGCCTTCTCTGCGCTGAGGGGGAAGATTGCCCTGCCGGTCTCTCAGAGGCTCCGCATCCCCGTCAGGCTGCAACCCCAAGTCGGACGGCCATTCTTTAACGAACAGGTAAGCAAGAGGCACCGCCAGCATCAACACTATCAAACCCAACGCCGCCCAAGTAACCCGCCAATGGGTCGCTTGAAGCAGGTACATAGCGAAGGGGACCAGCAACAAGGCACCAGCGGACGTGCCGCTGGCGTTTATGCCCATGACCACCGCCCGGCGGCGGCGGAACCACCGCGCCAACATCGCGCCAGTGGTGTTGATGGAGGAGGCGCTCATGGCGGTGGACAGCACAAAACCGAACATGAAAATCAGGAAGAAGATGTGGAAGGTGAGGCTATGCAGCGCGGTTATAACACCAATGACCGCAAGCCCGCCGATGATCAGCTTGCGGCCCCCAGTGCGGTCGAAAATCCTGCCCATGAAGGGTTGAGTGACGCCGTTGACGAGAGCGCCAAGGGCTGCCGCCAGTGAAATGGTGCCCCGGGACCAGTTGAACTCCTCGCTCATGGGAATGACGAATATGCCGAAAGCGTTGCGGGCGCCCATCGTGAGCATGGCCATGAAGAAGAAAGTGCCCAGCAGGTACCAGCCGTAAAAGATCCGCGGCTTTCCGTCGCCTCTTACCCGGCGGCTGATCTCCGGGACGATCGCCCATGCCAAAAGCAGGACGCCGACGAACAAAATGAGAAAGCCAGTGGAGGTCATACTGCAGCGCCTTTCATAAGCTGGTCCACCCTAAGTCTCTGCACGAGTTAAGAACACTTGCACCAGAGGTTGTGGCTCCATACTCCAATCCCGACACGTTGGGGTCCTCGGCACCGAAGCCAGTTTAGACGAAAAACTATGTGGGTATGCTACCACTCAACAAAGAGTTCTACCAGAGAGGCGATCAATAACACCCTAAAACGGATTCGGTCGTTAAAACTTGTGGACTATTCTAACCTTCGTTGGGTCAGGCCATTCCGTCTCAACCTTCAGCCCTGCGACACAGCGTTCTCCGGCCGCTTGACCCCCTGCTAGTCCTTCAAGGTCATGGCGTCTCGCCCCGCGCTGGTTCCTGCCAGCCGGCCAAAAACCATACCTGCCGAGAGGCCGGAGCCGCCCGGATAGTTGTAGTAAAAGAGGCCGCCAACCATTTCCCCGGCGGCGTAGAGCCCTGGAATGGGCTCCTGGCTGTTGGTGACCACTTGTCCCCGGGTGTCGATCTTCACGCCGCCGAAAGTGAACGTTATGCCGCAAGTAACGGCGTATCCAAGGTAAGGGGGTGTGTCGATGGGTTGCGCCCAGTTGGTCTTGGGCGGTTCGATACCAACCGTTGCCCTGCCGTCCTTCACCGTTGGGTTGTAGGGCACGTCCTGCTGCACCGCGGCGTTAAACTCCCGCACTGTCTGTGATAGCCCCTGTGGGTCTATGTCGAGTCGCGCCGCCAATTCCTCTATTGTGTCAGCTTGGGCCATAGTCACTTGGGGGATGTGGTATTCATCCCGGAGTAAGTGTTTGACTTTGTCGTCGAAAATCTGGAAGGCTAAGCCCTGCGGTTGAGTAAGTAATGCCCGCCCATAGGTGACGTAGGTGTAATTGCGGAAGTCGGCCCCCTCATCCAGAAATCGGTCCCCGTTAAGGTTTACGATGAGACCGAAGGGGTAGGAGTGTTTCTGGTACAACTCGGTGATGGTACGGTCTCCGAAGGCCGGCGCGTTCATATCCCAAGCCACGGCATGGCAACTACTCCAATGCCCATGGGATTGGGCGCCGATATCAAGCGCCATCCGGATGCCGTCGCCGGTGTTGTATGGAATCCCCCGCACCTTCACCAACTCCCAGCCGGGGCCAAGGTAACGGCAGCGCATTTCGGCGTTCGCTTCGAAACCGCCGCTGGCCAGGACTACCGAATGAGCATAGATATCTTCGAAACCGTCGGGGCCTTGCACCCTCAGCCCGTTGACCCGGCCTTTGTCGTCCTGAAGCAGTTGGATGCCTTGAGTGGAGTAGCGGATGTCCACCCCGGCCTGCTGCGACGCTTCAAACTGCTGATCGGAAAGCCCCTTTCCCGCGCCGACCGCCTCTACCACCAAGCCTCCCCAAAACCGGAACTTGTCGCCATCCTTGAAGGCTTGGCGACCGTAGGAAAGGACGAACCGCACGCCCTTTTCTTGGAGCCACTTCATGGTAGGGAGCGACTGGCTTACCAGGATTTGCGCCAAGTCCGGATCGGATCGTCCTTGGGTGACCCGCATCATGTCGTCATAGAACTGGTCCTGGGTGTAGCTCCCCACGTCGACGGACGTTTCTTCAGTGGGGGACATGTCCGGGATCAAGGCTTTGATGTCCTCAATACCGTCGAAAGCAAAGCGGATGATCCCGCCGGTGAAGTATGTGTTGCCTCCCCGGAAGAACTCCGGCGCTTTCTCCACCACCAGCACCGGCCCGCAGACTTCTTTTGCTGCCAAGGCCGCGCTCAATGCGGCGTTGCCCGCGCCGACTACGATAACGTCATACTGCTCTGCCAAGGCACTCCTCCAGATGTACTAAACAAATGTAATCCCAACCAGGCCATTCACGGGCACGGTGACCTGCCTGCCGAGGTTAATCATAGCGGTTGGCAGACCAAGTCTCAAGGATGCTGCTTCGGAGCGGCGCACGTGCAACAACCCAGCTTGCCGTTGGGAGTCCGTCATATTAAGATACAGCCGTAATCGACCTATCGGAGTATTCAAGGCAGATGAAAGCAGCCAGACTGACAAGCCCCAAGACATTTGAATTTGTGGACGTAGAAACACCCACGGCCGCCGATGGTCAGTGCTTGATAAAGATAGAAAGGGTTTCCATCTGCGGCAGCGATATCAGGGACAGTTACGGCCCAGTCCTGCCCGAGGACCGGTATCCTTTGCCCGCCGGTCGGCCATGCCACGAGGTCGCAGGTGTCATCGTGGACAGCAAGATTGACGGGTTCCCGGAAGGCAGGCGTGCCATAGTTATTCCGATGCCGGGCGTCGGAGGCTTGGCGGAATACATCGTTTCGGGCCCGGAAAGGCTTGCCCTTCTTCCCGACGAAGGGACGTTGGACGAGTGGGTAATGTGTCAACCTTCGGGCACGGTGCTTTTCTCATGTCAACAGATGCCCAACCTACTGGGCAAGACCGTGGTGGTGATGGGCCAAGGGAGTATCGGCCTCAGTTTCACCATGCTGACCTCACGAATGGGGGCCAGGGCCGTGATCGCGGCAGACCTGCTGGACTACCGGCTGGAAAAATCGAAAGAGCTCGGCTCCAACCATACCATCAACCCGGACAAGGTCAACATTAATGAAGCAGTACTGGATATAACCGGTGGTGTGGGGGCCGACGTGGTTGTCGAGGCTGCCGGTTATCCCGAGACCTTCGACATGTGCTTCCGGTTGGTGCGGCAGTTCGGCACCATCATAGTGTTCGGTGTCACAGGGAGCACACGGTGCCGGTGGAACACCATCTTTTGATGGATAAGCAGCCCCGCATCATCACCACCAACGGGGCGCGCAGCGGCGACCCCATTGCCCACATCAGGGAAATCGTGGGACTGCGGGAGAGAGGCTGGTGCGACCCATCGACGCTGGTAACCCATCGAACCGGTTTTTCCAACGTCCAGTCCGCTTACGACATGTACGAGCAACGGCTGGATAACGTCATTAAAGTGGTGTTGAACATCAACGAGTAAGTATTGAGAGGGTGTTCGATAAGCCCCTGTTCCTTTGAGTGGAAGGTGGCGACAATGAGGAGCGGCCCTCAGTTTGGCCTTTCCTCAAAGCGATAGGGGCCTTTTTGACATCTTCCGGCGTTTGCCCATGTAGTGGCCAGGATTTTTAGCAGCCCGAACCGGACTGGTGATGTTCTCTCATTCAACAACCCGGCTGACCGAGGTTGCCGCAACAGTTGTGGAACGTCTTAACCTTGGTCGCGTTGTTGGTCACCACCAGCTTTACCTTGCGGTAAAGGCGCATGGGCTTCAACAGATTTTCGATAAATGCTATTGGACTGGGATGTCGGTCCGGCATGGTTTAGGTATTATCGCAGACGGGATGTCAGGAGTACACCAAGGGCAAGGGGTTACAATCGGGAATTGAATTCCGAACTCGAAGGAGGCTCACGTGTCCGCAGAATATCTGGATAAGCTGGCTGGTTTTGTCACTGACACCAAGTTGGGAAACTTGGAGGAGTCGACGGTAACCGCTGCCAAGAACGTGGTGTTGGATACCATTGGCGCTATCCTGGCGGGAAGCCGCCTCTCCGAGAACGCCGGTTTTGCCAACTTGGTCCTCGGTATGGGCAATGGTGGCAACGCGACTCTATTCGGACACGCCGGAGCGGCGCAGCCAATGATGGCCACGCTGGTGAATGCTACCGCTGGGGTATCATTGGAGATGGACGAAGGCAGCCGCTTGGGCGGTGGCCATCCTTCAATCCACGTCACTCCCGGGGCCATAGCGATGGCTGAGGAGCGGAAATGCACCGGCGCTGAACTGCTGGAAAGCGTAATAGTCGGGTACGAGGTGACCTCCCGTATCGGAAGCGGCACCACCGTGAAGGACGTGGTCCACTCCCACGGCACTTGGGGGACAGTGGGTACTGCCGCCGCAACCGCACATATCCTGGGGCTTGACGCGCAGGAAACCAGGTCCGCTATCAGCATGGCCGCTTCGATGAGTCCGGCCAATACTTGGACGCCATGCTTGGAAGGGGCCACCGTCCGTAACCTGTACCCCGGACGCTCCGGCTTCCAAGGCATTCTTGCCGCCCAATTGGTGCAGTGCGGGTTTACCAGCCTTCAGGACGGGCCGTCGGACTTGTACGAATCATTGTTGGGAGAGGGCTTCAATATCGAAGCCGTAATGGCCGGTCTGGGAGAGCCGGGCGCCTACCGCATCCAGAACAACTACTTCAAGTTCCATGCCTGCTGCCTGTACAACCACCCGGCGTTGGATGCTGTAGAGTCGTTGCTGCGGCAAGAGGAGTTTACGGCAACGGACGTTAGCCGCGTCCGGATAGAGGCCCCTCCTTTGGCTTTGACCATGGCCGACCCTGAGCCGGACAACATGCTGGCAGCCAAATTTTCCATTCCCTACGCAGTGGCAGCCATGCTGGTGCGGGGCAATGCCAACGTGACAGCCTTCTATCCCGACCAAGTTGCCAATCCTCAGATAAGGGAGTTGGCGGGAGTAGTGGAGGTGGCTGCGGATTCCGAGATGAGCCTGCGCCGCTACGACTATCCGTCGGCCAGGGTCGCAGTGTCCCTGAAGGATGGGCGCCGCTTGGAACAAAGCGTTACCGCACAACGGGGCGACTACAGGAACCCGGTGACGCGGGATGAGTTGTTGGCCAAGTTCAGGTTCCTGGCAACGGAGACGCTGGGGGAGAACAAGGCTTCCCAAGTGATCGACATCGTTGACTCGCTGGAGACGCTGGGGAACGTTCGAGAGTTGACCGGCTTGTTGCAGGCCGGTTAGCGGCCTCGCTCGTCGCCCCAAAGCAATATATGGAGACGAGTTGAAAACCGGAACCCCTCCCGCACGCATGCCTCTGAGACCCAGCCGCTGCGGCATTGCAGTGCAGCAACCGTTGTCCCTTCCGGCAGCAGGATAATACGGTCTGCCGGCAATCGGTAACGGTCCCTCAGCCTGCATACCTCTTCCACGTCGCTTGGGTCGACGACTACGAACTTGAAGTAGGCGCGAGTCATATCGCGGAAGGCTTCCAAGACACGGGGGACTTCCCGCTTGCCGGCAAGGGTACCAGAGGTTGCCAGCTTGGGAGAAACGTTCCACTGGTTTATGTCCCGCGCCATTTCTTCGATGGGAGCGATGGTGCCGTTGGTCTCCACTTCGAAATAGAATCCTTCGTCCTTCAACTCCGCGACCAGAGGAGCAAGCTCCTTTTGTTGCAACAGGGGTTCGCCTCCGGTGATGATCAAGTGAGGGCAGCCAAAGCGGAGGATAATGTCCCTCACCAGCCCTGCGTCCAGTGACGCGACTTCGTTCTTGTAGTTGAAGTTTCGCCAGTCCCACGTGTATTTGGTGTCGCACCAATTGCAGGTCAAGTTGCACAAGGCCAACCGCAGGAACACCGATGGAGCGCCGATGTTGAGACCTTCTCCCTGCAAGGAGTGGAAGATTTCGGGAGCGCCACCAGCCCGTTTGCTCACTCTCAGCAACGGCTAACCGGCCTTTAGGCGTAGCAGCGCCGGGTCGGTCAGTCCGGCTTCTTGGAACCCTTTGGCTCTCAGAACGCAGCTATCGCACCGTCCGCACGGAGCATTACCGGCCTGATAGCAGCTCCAAGTCAGATCCAGCGGCGCTTGCAACTGCACGCCGAACTGCACAATTTCTTTCTTCGACATCCGAATGATGGGTGTTTCGATTGCCATAGGCACTTGATATTCAGCCCACAGCTTGCTGCCATAGACCAAAGACTCCCGCATCTTCTCAAAGTACTCCGGACGGCAGTCCGGGTACCCGCTGTAGTCGATTGCATTGGGCCCCATGAACAGCGTGGCCTGTACGTCCGCGGGGCACTCTCCCTCGACCTCCAGCGCGTAGAGCACATTGCTTTCCAAGTAAGCGGCCGCAAGAGAGAGGAAGATGGTGTTGCGGACCGGGACGTAAGTTATTGGGATGCTGGCCGCCATCCGGTCCGAGGACCTATCCTCCGGGACGGGGAACTGCTGTGGGTTGGTCAGGGCAGAGTACCAAGCGACGGAGCCGAGGAAGGAGATGTCAACCAGCTTGTGCTCTATTCCCAATGCCTCGGAGACTTGGGCGGCGCAGTCTATCTCCTTGCCGTGGCTCTGACCGTAGTAGAAGGTCAAGGCCGTCAGGCGGTCTGTGGATTTGGCGGGCATGGGCGGCCACGGTTGTAGAGTCCAATCCTCCAGAGAGAAGGGTCACGCCGTAGCTTGGCATACGCCTATCCCGTCGCTCCGCCGGCGCCGTCATATTCGGCATACTGGTCCAGCGACTCCCAGAGCCGCACCTTGGCCGGAGACATACCGCAAAGCTTGGCCACCACGTTGTACAGTTCGCGGGATATCACTTCGCAGGAAGGATTGCTGCTTTCGAATTGGTAGATTCGTCCTTTGGACGCTGGGGCCAGTCCATCGATGAGTTCGGTGTCCCGGCTGTTGACCAGGAAAGCGTGGTCCCAATTCTCGTCGATCCAGATTTTAACCCGACGTTTCAGTTCGGTGAAGTCGAACACCAAGTCCTGAGAGTCCAGGGAGTTGGCTTGAAGAAAGACCTCGGCCCGGTAGGTGTGCCCATGGGGGAAGGCGCACTTGCCGTCGTAGTCCAGCAACCGGTGGCCGCTGTCGAAGGTGGTCTCTATCCGCACCAAGTACATTAGCCGGTCCCGTTGCCGGGATATTCGACCGTGACGCAGGTATGGATGCCGCCCCTGACGCGGTAGTCCAACGTGACCTTCATACTCTTGGGGTGGCACAATTCCACCAAGTCCAGCAGAATGCGGTTGGCCGCGTGTTCCTGGACGACGCCCACGTCCCGGTAGGACAGGAGATAGTATTTCAGGGCCTTCAGTTCGATGCAACTGTCCTGAGGAACGTAGGATATTCGCAACATGCCATAGTCGGGCAGCCCGGTCCATGGACAGACGGCAGTGAACTCGTCGGTGTCCACGTCCACTGTGCAGTCCTGGCCCGGGTACTCGTACTGGAACGCCAGCAGGCAGGCGGTGTCGATAGCCGATTCGCCCTTTACTGGGACCGTCCGGTCCAAGTCTTCATACTGTTGTCTTAGCTCGGGAATAGTGGCCACGGAACATTTCCTCCTGGACCGCTTAACGCAGTGCCGTCAACATGATAGGCGTCCCCGCGCGGCGGTGTCAAAACCTGCCAGGGACCGACCAAAGGCAGGACGGCGGGAGACCTCAGAGGGGCACCAAAGCGGAATTTAAAATTCTGTGTCATTCTGGATCATTCAGCTTTGGGCCAGCCGCCGAGCTGCGTGATATGCGTGTCATTTTTGCCAGGACTCAGTCAGTTAGTGTACCCGTTCTGCAGCAATCGGTGTCATTTTGTGTCACGTTTCCTAATTGTCCGAGCCGCCAAAGCCGGACGGGCTGTCGGGCGGCCTATGAGAGGGTATGACTATGATAAGGCGGCGGCATTGGTGTTGGGAAGGGACAACTGTCACCCCGCCGAGAAAGCACGGAAAAAAGGAACGATTCCCCAGGAATCTGCATATTATCCCTAGGCGGCTGCCGAAAACTCTGACGGTCTTACTCAGAGACCCAAAGCTGCTCGACGATAAGCGACGCCATTGTTGTGTGTTCTGCACCATAGCTTCACACGAACTTAAATGATGACGTATATCGGTGGGTTACTTGACGTTCCACCACCATCCGCGTCTGTGCGCCTTGCCTTTTTCAGCAGCCTGCTAGATACTACAACGACGCGTTATGAGAAAACACGCTCAGGTCTTCTTCTTCAGCTACTGACCGTTCATCACGGGAGACTCGCACTCGTTCGTTGCCAGCTTCAAAATCCGCCCACGAGTTACCTTGTAGGATAACGCGTCGTTGTAGTACTAGACGCGTTTCTCGAAATGGCCCCGGAGAGTAGAGCAATGAGCAGAACGACAGAAGCAGTCCTTAGTTGCCAAAAGGGCGACAAGGACGCTTTCCATTACTTGGTTGATCTGTACAAAGACGTGGTCTTTGGCACGGCTTACATGATGACCGGCAACCGGAGCCTCGCCGAAGAACAGATGCAGGAGGCCTTTTTGGCGGCTTGGCTGGGGATCTAGGATTCGAAGCAGGTCGCCCTTTCAAACCGTGGCTGGTGCGCATATTGGTGAACAGGATTTTGACGCTACAAAGAAAGCATGCTCTTCCAACAGTCCCGTTTGACGGGTCCAACCCGTCAAATCAATCGGTAGACCCTGCGGAGGAAGTTGAAGCCATGGACCGGAGTGTCACGGTCCGGAAAGCACTGTCGGGTCTCAATCAAGAACACCGGCAAGTGGTCATTCTCCGGTACTTCGCCGGATTGACGGTGCCTGAATTGGCGCACGCGATTGGGAAACGGGAGGGCACCGTCAAATCCAGGATACACCGGGCGTTGGGCCGTTTGCGGGAGCAACTAAGCCAAGTCGCCGCAGGGGAGGTTGATCACCGTGGCTGACAATGATCTACCGGACCAGGACATGGAACGGTTGCTGAGGCAGCATTTCACCGAGGAGACGCCGGGCCTCCTGGCGCCAACCGACACGTGGACGCGGCTGGCCAGCCGCTTGGAAGAAAAGCCTCCCAAGCTGCCAGGCCGTTTCACAGCCTTTCGCAGCATCCTACCTCAGACATGGACCGATGGCAGGCGCCTGACATTCGCTGGGACGGCGATGGCTCTCATCGCCGTGGTAGCCTTAGGCTCCGTCTTAACGTTGAACAGCAACCCAAGTTATACGGAACCGGTGGGGAGCGCCCTCTACTTCGGTGAGGAAAGCGAGTCGCAAGGTCCTACCGCCGCTCCTGAAAGCTCAGTGTTAGCGATGCCAGACCCATCGGAACAACGCATCGCGCCTACGGCCCAGGAGGGCGGAGTTATCGTCGAAAAGGAGACCGCTCCAACCTCCATTTCTGGAAAGAGTAGCGAAACAACAATCGCGCTAACGCCCACTGGAAAGGACGGTGAAGGAAGTTGTCAAGGAGGTCGCGTCACCTGTAACGGAGCCTCCGGGGAACGGGAGCACCCCCAGGGAAGTAACTGTGGAGAAAGGAAGGAGGAGGCAGGAATACGCGGGGGGGGAGAAGGAGGACAAGGGAGACTTCCCCCCTCTTCCCCCTCACTCCTTCTTCCTATCCCACTTCCTCATTTCCCCCTCCCGCAGGGGGAGGATTCCCCGCAGGAGGCCGCAGGAGGGAAAAAAAGAGAGGGAGGAGGGGATCCCGTAGACGCCCATTTCAAGCAGAACTACCGGCCAACAGCACGAGACGGCGGTTGGTTCCTGCACGCGGTGTGCGAATCGGGCAGAGGGTATGAGCGGCACGACGGGCAGCTTGACGGCGAAGGCGATCTGGATGAAGGCGAAGACCGCCTGTAGCGGCAGAATCGCCGCCAACAAAGGTTCGACACAGCCCGAGCAGCTCGCGACTGTCGAAAGTGTCGGCCGCCGAGCCAGGACCAGGAAGCCGACAGAAATTGAACGCGGAGCCGAAGATCGTGTAGAGCACGAACTCGCGCCGAAGAGTAGTTGCGGTTGCCGCATTGCAACAGAGTGATAAGACAGGAACATTTCGGGATATACAGCTTCGAGCTAACAG